TTATACATTTTAAACGCATGTTTGCGTGCGTGTGCGTGTCTGTGTGTTTGTGTAGTGCTCTTATTGTTAGAAAAACAATACGAACTTTTGGATAATAGTTATTTGAATGTTGATCGTCGTCTTCCTCCTCATTTTTGTTGTAAGATGTTTTTCTTATTTCCTCTGTTTGATTGTGTATTGGATAAGTAACGATCAAATTTCCACTTTTTTTTATAGCTATCAAAAAATATAATTTCAATGAATGTCTACAAACCTGCCCCGTCCTCAAGCAACTGATGCATTTCCTTCTGCCCTGTGAAGAGGAGGGCGTGGCTGAACCTCAGGACCGCCCACTCTCCGTAGATGATCAGCAGGTCAATCATGGCCTCGTTTATTGATCTCTTCGTTTTGTAGGTTTCCTTGGGAGGAAGGATGTACAAAAAAGATGTCGAAATTTTATAAAAAATTGATCTATCGATCAATCATCTTTATGTCACTCATTCAATCATTTGGCACAACTTGTCGGTCGAATCATTTCTTTCAGTTTTGATTTTTTCACGTGTATAAATTACATCTACGTGAAATATGTAAGGGTGACATAAAAAGCATTGCATTGTATCTGAAAGTTGAATGAATGAACAATTTTTTTTTTAACAAATAGTTGCACTATGTGAAGAAAAATAAAATGGCCAGCTGGGTCAGTTTGAAAATTTGTTCGGTTGATTTACTTGCAAGTTGTCCACTATCTTCTGCGTGAATACGTCATTAGTCACCAGCCAATGAAAGAGCTCGTTGCATGGTATCGTATTTAAAACGATCGACAATTGGTTACGCTTCAAACTCTTTAATCTAGGGCCCACCGTCGGAGTTTTGTTGAAGAAATTGTTGTTGATGTCTTTGTGGCCAATGTTAAGGTTGTTGTTGAAGAAGAAAAAATCGTTGTTGATGTCTTTGTGGTTGGTGTTGTTGTTGATGTTAAGGTTGTTGTTAGCGGCTTTGCTGTATTTGTTGCTGATGCCATAAACATTGACACCATTTATTTTGTCGTGGCTCGAAGTAGCTGGGATGTTGAATGTTGTTGTCTTCTTGCTACTCTCGTTTCTGATAACGCTGTCACCACTGTTGTTGTTGTTGTTGCTGGCAGCTGGGTTGAATCGTTTGTTAGATTTCAGGATGGTCTTGTTGCTATTGCTGTTGTTACTTTTGTTGTTGTTGTAGTTGCTGTGGTTGCTTTTGTTGCTAATGTCGCTATTGCTTCTGTTACTGCTGCTACTGCTGTTATTATTTTTGGGAACGTTGTTGTTGTTGGCGTTGAGATGGTTGATTTTGTTGATAAGTATCTTACCGTTGAAATCTATATCCATTGCTGCTTGAAATGTTGTTGTTGTAGTTTTTTTTAATGTTGTTAATGTTTCTGCTGCTGTGAATGTTTTTCAAGTGCTCTGATATTTACTGTTTACAGTAGAAATTCTAGATGTTAATTTTATTCGCGTCATTACTTATCGAACTGTATATAGGTTGATGAGAAAATAAAATTATGAAATACTAAATACTAACCTTATACTAACTATTTTATAACAATTTTAATTTTATAACAATTTTAATTTCCTATAAATTGCCCTAAACACTTCTGAATAGCCTAGACTAATAGCAGGTACGCAAGTATGCGAGTGTTAAATATATATGCGTGAAGTAGATAGTCATTTTATTGACATAGAATGTGGCTAGCAGACTGTTTGGCACTGTTTAGTCGTCTGTGTCATGGCAACCTTTGTTTTTTGCTCTATTTTTTATCTACGCTACCGTTGTTTAATCTAACTTGAGCATGTGTTTGCTTGTATTTGTGTTGTTGGTATGTATGTATGTTTGTAACTTATGTATGCACGTGTTTGTATGTGTGTGTTTGTGTGTGGGATTGCATGCAATATATGTTTGCCCTGATGTGTGTGTATGTATGCGTGTGTGTGCGTGCGTGTGTGTGTGTGTGTCTGTGTCATGCCTGTTTGTTGTTTAAATGTACGAAGTATGTAATGCACACTTGTAAGAATTACGTAAAGGCATTGAAACATAGAGAGAGAGAGAGAGAGAGAGAGAGAGAGAGAGAGAGAGAGAGAAAGAAAGGGAGAAAGAAAGAGAGGAAGAGGGACGCGTTTGTTAGCCTTTTTATCTGCATTTTTGCCTGGCTGTGAGGTAATTATTTTGGGATGTGTCAGTGTATGCACACAGTACTTATGTAGGACTTATATAGCACTTGTATTTCAACTCATACGACGCATTGATAGTGTTGTTATATTCAAGTTCGTTTTGATGTGCAAGAGTTTCATAATGATATCAACAAATTGTTGGCGTATTTTAGTACGCAACTGTGCTTGCTATTACGCAATACTTCTATTCATAGTGTCGTAATAGATGTACGAACTTTGTATGGAATGCAATTATTTTGTATTATTTAGACAATTTGGTAATTTGTATTAATTTCTGTTTTTATTTTGCCAACTTGAATGATCGTTTGAGGGCGTTGACACACGATGCTCCTGAGAATGTATTGCTTCCTCATTGATGATTGGCTCTTGAAAAGCGAAAATGAAACTAAATTTTATCTATTTTTAGAACCAATACCACAACAAACTAAATATGCAAAATTGAGTTTCAAGGTGACGTTAAGCATTCTACGTTAAATTAAAAATTGTTTAAAAGTTGATTCGAAAAATTGACATTTGAATTTTCTCGTTATAAATATTACAAAAACTATACATCGACTATTTTATATAAATTCAAAATTTAAGCAAAAAATAATAAATTTAATGTCTTCCATAATTATTAGTCTTCTATATAATTCTTTTGCACGTGATCATCTTAGCCGTAGCGGAAGACACCCCTTTTATCGTTATTCTTTGCGCGTCCGGAGTTAGTGTAGAGACCTGGGATGTTCCCGTCTTCGTTGGGGACGAATGATTCGACGCTTTGTTGCCTGATGTTGGTCAGGTACTCGTCAGCATCTTCTGGCTCGTAACGTAAAGACAAACGACGATGTCCTTTGCCGCGGTGGTTAGTTAGACCTTCGAGCGGTTCTTCTGTTAGATTGGATAGTGGGATGGGTTTAATTGGTTGATTGATTGGCTGGTTGCTACAGTGATTGGTTGCGATGTTGTACTGCGTTTTGTGATTGGTAGAGATGATGTATTGCGTTCATTGATTGGTTACTTTCTCTATTTGGATGGTGGCTGTTTGGATTGTTTGTTAGTTGAAAGGATGGTTGGTTAATCATTTGTTTAGCTTTGTCAATAAATTTGGTTTTAGAATTGTTGCCAAATGTTTCAAAAGCAGCTCAATTCAACACAATTTTTCCAAACTTTGTTCTGCGTTTGAGCGATAATACACGCTTTCACAGATGTGAAAATATTTACAGTTTTTACTTATCCATGTTGGCCACTATTTATTGAACTTCTGGGAATACCAATCGAATTTTTTTTTCTCCAAGTATCCCATACTGGTTTCCATGTGTATATTGTTCGCTAGTTGTTAATGGTTCAAAAGTTTCTTGAAATTCTGATTGGATCAGTAAAAGTTTTTTGTTGTTGATATTTTTAATTAAATATATGTGTGTGTTGGTGTGTGTATTTGTTAGAAGTTTTATGCATGTTTGTGCGTGTGTTGTGTGTGGTGTGTGTGTTGTGTGTGTTGTGTGTGTGTGTGTGTGTTTGTTTGTGTGTGTGGTGTTGGAGCGCAAAAATTTGAGACTTTTTGTTGTTTATTAAAAATTTATTTGTGAAGAAAATAATTTATTGCACTCGCATGATAAATATGCTTTGAAACATTCTCGCCACACTTGATTTTTCGTTATGCCACCATTTGAACAGCGGTTTTTAAATTTTCACAAATTTTAATAATACCACTAACTCGACAGCGGCAACTTCTACTACTACCGCCAATACTACAACTAGTAATACTACAACTACAACTACCACTACTACCACCAGAACCACTACTACTGCTACTACTACCAAAACAACCAGACCACAAACCGACCGATACTTTAAAGTCAGCAACAAATTCGCCGCCACCACCGGCTACAATCCCGACCGCCAACCACAACAACCATACTACCACCCCACCACCACCACCACCAACAACAACAGCCACCACACCAACTAACCGTATCCATCCCGATTAAAAGTAGCGGCGCACGTAGCCATCATGGCGACAGCGCAGAAAACCACTAGGACTCCAGCGGCGAACGTTTTTCTCGGCACCACCATGACGTCAAGGTTTCTTCTAAAAATAGGGATGTGCTGGAATTAGTGATGTGCTGCAAATAATATTAGAAATGTGCTGGCACGAATGATCTCAGGACTGTTATTGTTAGTATAGTTAAAAAATATTTAAACGGTGAACGTAATTGTGGTGATGAATGTCTGCGGGCCACAAATTTTTTTCAAATGTCTTACCATTCAAATTTTGTTTATATATGTATATATATATATATATATATATATATATAAGCACTTATCTGAATAATTAAATATGTATATATGTATGTATGTATGTTATGAGTGTGTGCGCGTGCGTGTGCGTGTCGTTTTAAAGTACCAATACAAGCGATGGAAAAAAGAGAGAAAAAGAAAGATAGAGAGAGAGAAAGTGAGTGAACAATGAGGTGAATGAGAGAAAGAGAGAGAGAGAAAGAAAGAGAGAGAGAGAGAGAAAGAGAGAGAG